ATTGCAGATTTAAGTATTGATGGAATAGTCATATCAACCCTGTGATAGTTTGCCTGTTGTTGAAGTCAGAACAAAAAAGTACAGTTTCGATTTCAAATTGATTGTTCACATCTGATAATTTTTGAATAGTTCACAATTTTATTTTTGTTAGTAAGTGATTTGTGTTTATATCTTTCCGCAACAATGGTAGACTTCCAGCCACCATGTCTCTCCAAATGTTTTCATCACGATCATCACACTAGTAAATAACTGCAATGAAGTTTGACAAATCTTATTGCCTTCGTGATTTTGAGGATTTTGAGGATTCCTTTTTCATATTTCACGAATAATCTATTATGTGAACTATGGGATGGCCGAGAAGCTAAATATTACCAATACAATAGCAGCTTTTCCTGCCCAATTACAACAAGAGTTGGAATCTGATATTTCTACAGCAACATGTATCCCTTGTCGTTTATTAGATAAATTGACATTTTTGTTAGTTCTCGTCTCCACGCACCGGTAAATCCAATAATTGTCGCTACTCGAAAATAAAGCAATCGTAATGTTTCAATAAAATCACCTTCAGCGTTAGATATGTTTCATTGATTGCTTCCCTAATGAATTTGTTGCTCTGCCCGCTGTTGAAGACATGCTACACAAGGTAGAAGATTTGACAGTTTCTGATTTTTGCGCCACCTAAGCAAAAATTACATCTATTATAGTTTTACATTCACATTTATCAAAACCATACCTACCAAGATGTTTATATTTACTTTGAAAACAACTTTGTGATTCTTTCCGGCCTAGTCCGGAAAGTACGTACTTTCCGGACTAGGCAGAAAAAATGTTTCTTCCTCAAAGAAAAAGCGTCCGGGAAGTGGATTTTTCCCGGACGGTCGCCGGAAAATGCTTTTCCTTTCCTTTGTTTCTGATCAAAATCAAAAGATGCTCCTTGAAACTTATGATTATATTATGGACTGAATAACCAACCATATCAGTTTGTTTCAGAATAAACAAAAGACATTGAAATCCCTCAATCCGAAGAACCTAAAAAAAATATTGCAAAAAAACTCATTTTGAGGAGTTCTAGATGAGTATTGGTGATTTTTATTATAACTAGATATTATAAATGATTTACATGGGTACTTAGAATGGGCAACAGAATCTCCGGACCTGAATCCGTTAGATTTTTTCATAGTGTTATGTAGGCGTATATATCTGAATGAAACAATAATACATTTTTTGTTCAGATATGACCATATTTTGACAATTCATATCTGATCCTCTTTATTTGTAGCCAAGTATGCTGTTGATAATCGGTTTGGCAATTTTCATATAACAATTCTCATTCCATATCAATAAAATAACTTTGAAATCACTCAAACTTCTTGAATATAGAGGTAGGATTGCTAAAGACTCAACGGCAAGCACAATTGAAATTTTGTTTCGTTCATTAATTAGGTCACATTTAGAATATGAATCCATTGCGTGGTGTCACTCTCACTTAGTATAGAAAACTAAAAGGTTCAAAATAAATTTTTTTGTAGTGCTGCATACAAAATGGGCTTATCAGGTCAAATTAATTTCCCAGAACTTCTCTCTTTGGTTGGCCTGAGAGTCAAGCAAAGAGTAACAAGGGATGAAGCTGTTTCCGGTGATAACTCACATTCTACCAATAATGGATTCAATAGTCCAATGTCATGAATGTTACGGAAAGCTAATGCATCAGAACTTAATTTTTTACTCACTCCTTGAAGGTCTTCAAAAAGTTTGCAGTCAATTATGCATTTAGTCTTTAGATGCATGCCTTGTATGTTTATTAGTTTATGGTGCTGATGTTGGTTTTGATTGTTTCATTCAGCATTCAGCAACAGATTCACAACAATTTTGACCGAAATGCATTGCTGAAAGTGGAAGCAGAATGACTTCAGTCACTGGAACCACACTCACAAGAGGATGTGGGTTATCAACCGAAAGGGAGTGATGAGAGAAACATAATGGTAGGATTTTCAGGGCAAGGAAATGGAAAAAGTGTTTTATCAATGCTCAACATTTACGTGTACTTTGGTTTGAATGAATTTTTGATACATTCAATCAGTTCTAAGAATGATCTCACTCATTGTGGCGGATTTCTAGACGGCAGAGATACTCGCACGTGTACATAGCCAGATCCACTTCCAACTGCTTTCGATGATCAGTGTTAGGTTAGGTTAGGTTAACTTAGGTCACGGGTCACGGGCTACGGAGGGGCCGAATTATGACACGGTAATGACCCTAAAAATTATCCAGATTAATGTGGATAGAAGGGTGGCGGCCCATCATTTTTTGAGTAAAGTGGCGGTTGAAAAAGACATAGACTTAGCACTGGTGCAAGAACCAAATTCTAGATTGACGTCGAATAATCCTAAGTGGATTGTGGTCTGCTCGGGTTGCGCTACAGTTTTCTGTGTGAACCCGAGATGTGGGATTGTCTCGCACTCGTCTGGCTTGGGTTATGTATTGATTAAGTTTGACAGCTTCACGATTTTTAGCTGTTATGTATCCACTAACACCAGCCTGGAAAATTATAAAAGATAAGATAATAGCGATGATTCTCCAAATAGATATAGGTATATAGAATATGAGCCCCCGATGGCCTTTACAGAAGAAGAGCCGTGTCGAACATAAAGGTGAGGAAAGCAGCCGGACCGGACGGAATCCTACCCGTGGCTGTGAAAATTGCGGCCGACACGTGCCCGGAAGTGTTTCTGAGAGTTATGAACGATTTGCTGAGAGATTGTTTGTTCCCCGAGAGGTGGAAAATAGCAAAAATCATTCTTATTCCTAAAGGTAACACTGCAGACCAACGGTCAAAGGTCAGGCCAATTTGTCTTATTGATATCATTGGCAAGCTTTACGAATATCTTCTGAAAGGCAGACTGGAGACGGAATTGACGGAAAAGAATGGTATATCAGAAACACAATTAGGATTCAGCCCAAAGAAATCTACGGTACACGCTATTAAACACGTCCTAGAATTAGCTAGCAACAGAGATACCACCTGGGGGGCAAAAATCTTTATAGACGTCGGAAACGCCTTCAACACTGCAAAGTGGCCAAAAATCATAGAGAAGCTGCAGGAAATTGGTATCAGCGACTATCTCAGAGTAGTCCTGGCAAACTATCTCTCGCTGAGAACACTCAAAAGTGGAGAATACGTCCATGAGATGACGCAGGGCGTCCCGCAAGGCTGTATAATTGGGCCCACGTTATGGAATATCCTTTACGACGGGGTCTTGAATCTAAACATTCCTACGGGATGTTACACAGCTGCGTATGCGGATGACCTCGCATTAATAGTGAGAGCTGACAACATAAAGACGCTTATTAAGAGAGCAAATAAATCCCTAATAGTTATTAAAGAATGGATGAACGTGGTAAAACTGGAAATTGCCCCAAATAAAACAGAGGCGATTATCGTGCGGGGGCCCAGGAAAAGAGAGGGTATAGCCTTTGAGCTGGACGGGTCGAGTATAGTCCCGAAAAAGTTCGTTAAATACCTGGGAGTGTGGCTGGACGACAAGCTAATTTTTAACGAGAACACGAGAAAGGCCTGTGAGAAAGCGGACAGGCAAACTGTCCGCTACTGTCCAAGCTACTGCCGAACGTAATAGGACCTAGTACTCAAAAGAGACGCCTGTTATACGGGGTTGTACAGTCGGTCCTGCTGTACACTGCGCCTGTGTGGAGAAATGCGATGAGGATTGACACCTACAGAAGAATGATAACTACATCGCAAAGGAAAATTATACTCAGAACGGTTTCGGCATACAGGATGGTGTCGGCAGAGGCTCTCTGTGCTATCGCCGGGATACCCCCAATTGACCTTTTAGTGCAGGAAAGGGGACGAATTGATGAAGCCAATGTTGAAGTCACAACTGCCCTTAAAAAACGTGAAAGACTCAGAACCATTGAGGAGTGGCAGTTAAGATGGGATAGAAATAACGATAAAGCCCAATGGACCAAAAGACTGATCCCACATCTGGGGGCGTGGACGGAGTCTAGGCAAAGAAGAACAGAATATTTTCTCACCCAGTTTCTCTCAGGACACGGATCTTTCAGGGTCTATACAAACAGAATTGGTAAGGCTAATGACAATCTGTGTATATACTGCAAAAACGTAGACATCGCAGAACACACCATATTCGAATGCCTTAAGTGGGCAAGCAATAGACACAGGTTCGAAATGGATGCTGGGAGGTACCTGACACCAGATAACATCGTACAATATATGTTAGGGTCAACGGCGAATTATGAATTGACCGCAAACTATATTAGTACTATTATGAAGAAGAAGGAGACGGAAGAAAGGGAGTCCCAGGCCGAGGAGAAACGGAGACAGGACCAGCGCTAAGTCAGTTTTAGTTTTCATACTGAGTATATTCGTGAGGACAGTTCCGGGTATGAGGGAAGGCAAGGGGTGGTTTTAGCCGGTACAAGTCCGGCACTACTGGTTTCGCGATGGATACCAAGCGATCAGTGCCCATGAGGGTTTCCACCCCACCAAAAAAAAAAGGTTAGAATGGGTTAGGTTATGTTATCTTAGGTTAGGTTAGGTTAAGTTAAGTTAAGTTAAGTTAAGTTATGTTAGGTCAGGTCAGATTAGGTTAGGTCAGGTGAGGTTAAGGGATATCAAATTTCATATTTTGAGAATGTTTTCGAATAGTTATTCTATCGCTCTGAAATCCCTACCATCTTGTTCCTCTTATCATCTCCTTTCGATTGATATGCCGCTTCCTTGTGTAGGTGTTGTCCCAATAAGTAAAGTGCAGCCGTTAAAGTATGTCAAATACTGAACCGCTATAAAAAATGTTAGTATTTATTATTACACATTTTGACCCAACTTCAAGATGAGAAAAATGGATGGCCTGTCACGAGATTCAGAAACGCTCGGTTCAACTTCTAATAATTTATCGAAAAAATATGGTTTTTAAGTCGTAAACGTGAAAAAGTGGACTAAACGGAACAAAAAATCATTCGGCTCCCAGGTCATGAATAGTTTGCTATCCAGTACAATTGATCAAGTGTGAAGTGTTCCAATCCGCCATTTTAATTGATATAGTAGTTGAACGAAAGAAGCTGGATGATCTACGAAAACATCAATTTAAGGTAACTTAAATGTTTTATCAAGTGATTTTTTTAGATCAATATATATCTTTGAAATCAGTCGTAAATGAATATTGAAATTTCAAAATTTTGAAACAAAGCCTTCCGAAAGGCTTTGTTTCAAAAGAAAACTATAAAGGTGTTTCTGGTGAAGTATATACAGCCATCCCGTATATTTCTTATCCTATAGTGAGTGGAAAAATTTCCCGAAACACGTCGAATCATTTTGTTTGGGGACATCTTTTGACGTATATTTCAGGCTTGAACGAGCAACCCCCTAATAGGGGGCACTTCAACCCCTCCAACTTGATTAGGGGAGAGGGGTTGACTGATATTTTATTCGAAAGGACTTGGAAGCCTATTTACAACGGTGTATCAAAAACATAAATCTCATGATATCAAGCCCTCTTTACAAACTGAAACAATTTTCAGAAAATCACATTCTTGAAAAAATTGAATGATTTTATCATCATGCCTGCAATCGAAAAAATCAAATCTGCGTGTTCAAATCAAATGTTCAAATTGTCCTCCATTGAATTCCATACAATAATACAATTTCGACTGAAAACCGTCTCTGACATGGTTCAGCATAATTGGAGTTATTTGACGACACTCATTCATAATTCTTTGGCGTAGTTCGTCCAAATTTTCAGGGTGAATCACAAAAATCTTGGACTTGAGATGTCCCCACAAGAAGAAGTTCAGAGGGTTTAGGTCAGGAGCTCGGGCAGGCCACTCCATAGGACCTCTTCTTCCAATCCAACGACCGGGGTATTGCGAATTGAGGTATTTGCGAACTGGTGCGGTGTAGTGCGAATTTGATGAATCCACTTTCTCTGTAGTTTTGAGTAAATCGAAGAAAACGTGTATTATATGCAATCGTTGGTATATTTTTGAGTAATTTTTTGGCGATCTACGTGATGAAGGTTAATCTTTGTAATCCCGAGATTTTGGTGAAATTGATTCTATAGCATTTTTCAAAAATAGAATGATTATTGGATTTATCAGCGTTTGCACAAAACTCAAATTTTAGCGATTTTTGGTCAAAATTTTCCCCCAAAAAGCATTTTTCATTAACGCATTCAGTAAGGAGGAGAATATGATGAAAATTTAAAGAAAAATAAATTACGGGCGAAATTGAATGGCAAAGTTGTAGGCATTAAAAAGATCCACAACTTTTGTATTCACAATTTTTCTACATAATCTCACAATTTATGTGAAAAGTTCAAATAACCAAAGTTTTGATTTTTTATTTTTATATTGAAAAAATGAATGAAAAATAAAAAAAAATAACCACGCTCGGGAATGTCTAAATGACGTTATTTTTTTACAACTTTGCTGCCCTCCCCTTTTTTTTAAGTCACTCTCAAATTGTCACATTACTGGAATATACACTTTTTAGCATGTAATTAACTCACCCTACCTTAATCTGACGCGCTCGTGAATTTCTGATGATCAATTTTTTTTTACTAATCTGATTCTTCATCCCTCACAGGCGGCCTTATATATGTGGTTCATATTTGGTGGAGGTACTCAACCGACTACAAGGTATCCTCCTGTATATTAATTTGCCGCGCTTTAGTAAATCCCGAAATCTCCGCTTGGGCTCCTCTATTATTACCATTTCTACTCTTGCTGATTTCCTGGTTGTCAATAGACTGACGTTTAATGTATGCTCACAGAGATAAAAATCGGGGAATAACAAATCTGGTGACTGGAGGACTTTTAATGCTGCCTCATTTCTCAATCAACGTCCCTGAAAAATGTTGATTCTTTTTTTAAGACAAAACACAAGCACTACGGAAAAATCCCCAAGTCGCTCTAAGAGCGGTGCCTGATGTGCGAAATTAGTGATTCACATTGAATTTTAATCGCTGGAGATCAAATTCATTTAGAAAAAGGTCCTCAGGAAGTTCATTCCACATAAGCGCAGTTCTCCAAATGCAAGAGTTGTTGAACAGTGAAATTCGAGGTGTTCTAGGTTGAACCTCAAAACGATGAGCATCCACAGTCCGTTGCGTATTTCTGATATGTACGCTCTTGGTGGATTCAAAATGCAACACCCTGTATTTGTGTTTCTTTTAGTTTAAAAAAATATATTATTCGTTCATGTTCACACTGTTTTGATATCATTCTGCCTCGAACCCCTCAACTTCATTTTAAAATCATAAAAATAGTATTTGATTTCCAACTTCTTATACAGGATCGTTCAAAAGACTTATTGATGCCACCATGAACTACGATATCGTTCAAATGTCCGCCGCGGCTTCTCTGGCTGGAGCGCCTCCAAAACGTCCAATTATCCATGATTCTGGCACATAAATCAGGATGAATTGTACTAACGACATGGGTTATGTTGACTGTGTTCTATGGCTATGGCTATGGTCTGTGGTATGGTCTGTGGCATTTGCATACATCTGCGACTTAAGAAACCCTACCAAAAAAAGTCTAAAGGGGTCAAATCGCATGATCTTGGTGGCCAGTTCACATCACCGTCACATGAGCTGTTTGGCACGTAGTGCAGTTCTGTTGAAACCACATGTTGTTGATGCCCAGTTTATCCAATTCAGGCCAAAATAGTTGGTGATCATCGACCTATAGTGCTCGCTGTTGATAGACTGGGAAATTTTGACCCCATTTTTTACCGTCTGCCTTTTTCAAAGGACATATTTAGAGATACAAACAACAGTATTATGCGTTAAACGAATGTTTTCACATGTTACACATGCTCAAACATTAACTCTAGTTTGCATAAAAACAAGCTTCTTTGACCAACATTTTACCGTCTGCCATTCATGCGACCGGAAGGCTAGGTTACGCAACCTACAAAAAAATAATTGGCAGACGGTTACATGATGGTGTTGGGTCTTGAACATTTTCAGGCGTATCAGGTCATTCGTACCAGTTAAATGTATACTGTCCATTATCATTGTGACACCAGCCATAATTCAATGAGTCTAATTGAGATGGAATGTTTTCAAAACAATTGGTCGAGATGTTAATGTATGCTGTTCTTTAAATTTGTTGCTGTAACTCTCTGGCACATGGTGGTAGATTGGAAGCGTCAAACAATGAAACTTGTTTCTTGAAAGACGCCATATCATCTTTCACTCCGTAATGTCTTTCAAATATCCAAACTCTCGCTTCAAAAAAAATCGTTTTAAAATCTGTTTTTCCGTTAACCAGCTGTCGCACGCCTATGAAAGACAACCCACAGAAGTCGAAACTTGTGCGAGCTAAGGATTAACGAGGTCTTACCTTTTGAGGTATGATTCCTAACACATACGGCACATAAATTCTTAGATTATTGATACAGTGTCGGCAACCAAAGAAGCAAAAGCTTTTTCAAACTTTGCATTGCCCATTAAAATCGACAAAGGTTATTTTTACCCTTTTTGTAAAAAGCTGCTGTAAAATAACAGCCGGTTAAGGCATGGAATGCAGGTAAACCAGCATAAAGCTGAAAGCCAAGAGCTCGGCCGATTTATGTGGCATTTATGAATCTGCAATTGTTTCCAAAACCAAATTGTGAAGTAACATTAACACTTGTATCATCACAAATTGTCTACCACTCTCGAATAAAGATTCTTCTGAAAATTGACAGTTCATCTACATATATTGGATGGAAACAACGGCAGATGGTAAAACGTTGGTCCAAGTTATTACTTTTTTTCTGAAAATTATAAAATATTTTTCAGTTGTATAAACACGATCTACTCGTCTGCCGATTGACGATTTGTCTACCTAATAATAATATATATTGCAAGGAAACAATAGCAGACGGTAAAATGTCGGTAAAAGTTATTACTTTTTTTAAAAAATCAAAAAATTTTTTTCAGTTGTATGAACACGATCTATTCGTCTGCCATTAATTTTTCTCTGTATTTTTAATACTGAAGTTTATATCTTACCAAGTTTTATACGGTAAAAAAGTGTTCAGAGGCACTGCAAAAAATTGTTAATCAACTGATGGCTATAAATTATTAATACACCGGCAAACCGGCTGCGTTATGAACATTCGTTTATTTCATGGCACTGTTAGTCTACGTTGTGCTTGGCAGACGGTGAAAAATTGATTTTGGTTATATTAAAAATGCATGCTTTAGCCAGAACACCATGTAACCGTCTGCCAATTATTTTTTGTGGGTTGCGTAAACTAGCCTTTTGGTCGCGTGAATGGCAGACGGTAAAATGGTGGTCAAAGAAGATTTTTTTGTGCAAACTAGAGTTGATGTTTAAGCATGTGTAACATGAGAAAAAAATTCGTTCAACGCATAATACTGTTGCTTGTAGCTGTTAGTATGTCCTCTGAAAAAGGCAGACGGTAAAAAATGGAGTCAAAATTTCTGTCACGGACTTCCAGTCTATGGCAGCGATGCCCTGGCCAACGTCGTTCTCAAAAAATATGGACTGTTGACGCTGCCAGCCCAAAATCCACACCAGTGACTTTTTTCGCATGCATTGGATGCTCTTGGATCTTATGTGGATTGGTATCGTCCCAAATTCGACAATTTTGTTTGTTCACATATCACGTATTGTTTGATAAAATCATTCTATTATTTGCACGTTTGATGATGATTTGGAAAAGCAGACTAAATAAGTGACAACTAATTTGACAAATGTAGCTTCAACAAGATGACCGTTTTCGATTGTCAAAGTTCAGAAGTCTCTTTGGAAAACCCTATACAGTGTGTAGAAGCCAAATGGAATGAATTCATTATTTCGGTTACGGTACATATTTCAACAATTTTCCGATACACGTCAAATTTAAATGTCACCCCTACTTCCAACCCCCGTCGAATGACAGGTACAACCCCCAATTTTTCAAATATGAAGTGTAGATTTGTGATATATCGTTTCAAAGGTCTCTTCATTCTCTATACAAAAATGTTATCGCTTTCAAGTTCATTGCAACAATTAAGATAAAATAAATTAAAATCATGTGGTTACTGAAATTCGATAAAATACACTCATAACTTATTGAAATATACTCAAAACTTATTTCATGTTGAGGTATTGATAATAAGAAAGTACCTAAGCAAAAAACATAGCAATGATCTTTTTAGATGGTATCCTTTAAAAAACTGTAAATAATTTTCGTGGCAACGTTAGTTTAAAACGCCTTTTCAACTTGTTACATCAGTTGTCAGTATTTCAATTTGAGTTTCAAGTTCGTTAACTTCAAGTCTGACAAATGGTTAGATTAACGGAAATGCATAAAATAACAGTTTTACAAATGATTGGTTACGGAGATAAAACCCGAACACAACAGGAAGTAGCTCGCATATTCATGAAAAATTTACTAATTTACCTCCCATATCTCAAGAAACAATAAGCAAAATAGAGAAGCAGTTTCGCGAGCTTGGTCATATGGGGCAGATAAAAGAAGCAGCTGTCAATGCAATGAGTGATGAACTAAAATTAGATGTGAGTTTGAGGAAAACGCACATACATCGAATAGACAGGCATCTACTACATTCAATGTTAGCCATATATCAATGGTAAACATATTAAAAGAAAATTAAATGGATTTCTATAAATTGATACCTACTCAGGAGATCATGGAGAACGCTTTTGATAGAACAACTTATTTTTGTCAGCAAATGATGGATATGTTGGATAACAATATCATCCAATCAGAAGACGTTATATTTTCTGATGAGTGTATTTTGTCTCTTAACGGTCATGCTCATCGGCAAAATTGCCGCTACTGGTTAACGGAAAATCTTCACGGGATGAGAGATAAACACACGCAGTACCCTCAAAAGGTTAAGGTTTGGCAGGTCCCTTTTTCATTGGGGGCAACTTAAATGAAGATAATTATTTGTCACTACTTCGAAATGATGTCATTCCAAGTTTAGCAAATTTTTATCCTCATCCAGGAAACCCTCAAGTTCCAGTGGTGGTGCTTCATCTAGCAGGATGAAGCACCACCACATCACCAAGTTAATGTCCGGCAATACGTCGATACAACATTTCACAATCGGTGGATAGGGAGGCGACAATCGATTGAATGGCCTGCGCGATCACCTGATCTTTCATCATTAGATTTCTTTTTATGGGGATATGTGTCTCGACTAAAGATTCTT